AAAAAAAAGATTGGTGCTTTCACTTTCATTTAGCCCTCTTTCTGGTGTCTTTGTCTTGTATTTCTTCCGGTGTGTTAGATGGGTCTGCTGCTTCCTGACCTGTGGAATAATAGCTTTATGAAGGAGGCAGCCTCTAGTGCCCAGAAGCTCAAGACTCCTTACTTTCCAGTGTGGGAGCCTCAGCTGTTGGCATGCAGTAGAATGGGCTGCCTTTCCATGTGGCTTGTAGTGGTCTGATTCATGGCAGGCAGTTTGCTTTGGCTACTCCTATGTGGTCAGCGCAGAAGTCTCTGCTGGAGTTGCTGTGGGTGGGGCCACCCTCTGACTGGCCTGCAGCAATGGTAGGGCTGCAGTGTTAAGGGGGTGGGCGGGCTAATGTGCAACTCTGCCCAGGTACTACATGCAGCACCTGGCTTAGACTCCCACAGGGAGGAAGGGGCTCTTGAGACTGACTCCTGCAGGTACCTTGCTGGTTGGGCTGAAACGTAGCCAAGAAACCTGGGAGGGTCTCCCTCTACCTACCAGGCAGCAAAGTCTGACACTATTGCCAGTCCAAGTGAGTTGTCTGCTGGCTGCTGGTGCAGGGAGGAGTCTCAGGGCTGTGCTGCCAGCAAGGGGGATGGAGTGTCTGGGGCTCCTGAGAGTTCCTGACGTATTGTGCTGGGGATGGGCTGGGGAGGTATCTTCCACCTGCCCTTTTTCCTGAGAAGAGACCTCTTTCCAACACTTGCCCCTCTGGTACCCCTCCCACTGCTGGGAAGTCTTTCAAACTTCCCGCCTTGCTCCTGTCTCAGTGGGACTAGTGGAGCGTGCCTGTTCTCCACAAGTGGCTGGGATCTCAGCCTCCTTGAGTGTTCCACCAGTCTTTGTTATCCAGCCCTGTTAATCAGCAGAACACCATGTAATGTGGGCTCATGCTCTTGGAGCAGATCTCCAGGGCCAAGTGTTCAGTGATCCTGGGCTCTTACCTCCTCCCTACTCTGTTTCTCTTTCTCTCCACCTGTGGGCTGGGGTGCGGGGAGGGCTTGGGTACCACTCGATCTTGGCTTTGCTTTACCATTTTCTGTGAGGTCTTCTCTTCTTCCCCAGATGTAGGTAGTCTGTTCTGTAGTCTTCAGGTCATTTTCAGGTTTAGTTGTATTTGCCGTATTTTTGTTTTATGTGTTCTTGGGAGGAGGTTTCTTCCTTGCTTTCCTACTCCACCATCTTTTTCTCTACCCCCCAACATTGTATAAGTTTAAGGTATACAAGATGATATACTTGGATATATTGCAAATGATTACCGCAGTAGGATTAGTTATCATCTCCATTGCCTCACATTACTTTTATTATATGTGTATGTGATGAGAACATTTAAGGTTTGCTCTCTTAGCAATTTTCAAGTATATAATACAGTATTATTAACTACCATCTCCATGCTGTACATTTGATCTACAGAGCTTATTCATCTTAAAACTGGAAGTTTGTACCCTTTGACCAATATCTCCCCTTTCCTCCTGTCCAGTCCTTGGCAACCACTGTTTCTACTCTGGTTCTGTGAATTCACCTTTTTTTTTTTAATCCCACATATAAGTGATATCACCCAGTATTTGGAGAATGGCCATTTTAAATCATTTGACACACATTATAAATTGCTCTCAAAAAAGACTACCAATGTACTCTTATTCCACTACTGTATGAGGGTTCTCAGTTCCTTCACAACTTTTCCTTATGTTGTTGTTGAAAAAAAATCTTTGCTAATATTATAGGTGAAGTGGTCTTATTTTAACTTGAATTTCTTTGATTATTAAAGAGATTAATTTTTAAATGCTTATATTCCATTTGTATTTTCTCTTTTGAAAGTGTTCATGCCTTTTTACACTTATTTACTCAAGTTTGTGTTTTCTTGCTGATTTGTTTGCTCTTTTATGTTAAATCTCTTTTTAGTTGAGATATAAGTAACTATAGTTTAAGGTGTACATCATGATTCAATATATGTATGTATTATGAAATGATCATCATAGTTAGGTCTAGTTAATATCAATTCCATTACTACACATATTGACAGTTTTTTTTCCTGTGATGAGAACTTTTAAGATCTGCTCTCTTAGCAACTTTCAAATATATAGTACAGCATTAATTATAGTCACTATACTGGACATTACATCCCTAGGAGTTATAACTGAAGGTTTGTACTTTTGACTACCTTTATCCTGTTTGCCCACTCCGTAACTTCCACCCCTGGCAACTATCAGTCTGTTCTCTGTATCTGTGAATTCAGTTTTTTGTTTTGGTTTTTTTAGATTCCACATATAAATGATATTGTAGTATTTGTCTTTCTCTGTCTGACTTATTTCAGTTAATGAAATGCCTTCAAGGTCTGTCCATGTTGCAAATGGCAGGATCTCCGGTTTTTATGGTCAAATAATATTCCTTTGTGTATGTATGTATGACACATTTTCTTTATCCATTCATTCATTGATGGACACTAGGCTATTGTAAATAACACTGCAGGGAAGACAGGAGTGCATGTATCTTTTCAAGTTAGTGTTTTGTTTCCTTTGGATAAATATCCAGAAGTGGAATTGGATCATGTAGTAGTTCTTTTTTAATTTTTTGAGAGGCCTCCATACTGTTTTCTGTGGTGGCTGCATTAATTTACATTCCCACCAACAATGCCCTAAGGGTTCCCTTTTCTCCATATCCTTGCCATCCCTTGTTGTTTCTTGTCTTTTTGATAATAGCCATTCTAAAAGGTGTGAGATGATAACTCACTGTGATTTGGATTTGCATTTCCCTGATGATTCATGATGTTGAGCACCCTTTCATGTGTCTGTTGGCCATCTGTATGTCTTCTTTGGAATAATGTTTATTCATATCTTCTGCCCATTTTTCATTTAAAGATGGGGAGCTATTAAGTTGTATGAGTTCTTCAATTTCTTATCAGATAATATGCTTTGCCAATGCTTTCTCCCATTTTGTAAGTTGTTTCATTGGTTGTCTCCTTTACTGTGCAGAAGCTTTTTAATTTGGTATATTCCTACTTTCTCATACTATATTTATTTAACAAACATTTATTGCACTTACAGTATTTGCAGGCACTGTTATTAGTGATATATAAATTTTAACTCATTTAATTCTCATGATAATTTAAGAGGTAGATACTTTTATTATCCTTATTTTATTGATGAGGAAACAGAAGCACAAGAGATTGAGTGACTCACCCCAGGCCACACCATTGTAAGTGGTGAAATGGGATTCTAACCTGTATAATCTGACTCCAGAACCCATACTTTCAACCACTGTACACTACTGCCTCCCTTAGTAGTTGGACTTAGCCTAAAAACACAACTGTGAGGTACTCATTTAAGAACTGTGTAGTGTAGTGAGGACCTCCATATCTATACCAAAGTGATAATGGAAGATAAAATAAATGTGATACAAGCAGACTATATAGACTAACCATTCCTATTTGCTTTGTCAGTTTAACTCATTAGACATTTATTGTTTTTACTATGTGCCAGATACTATGCAAAATGCTAGGGAATCAAATATTAAAATATGGTCCCTACACATAACAAGCATTCTCTGGAGGATAAAGATTAGAGCAAATCAACATGTTAATTATACTCACAAGAGATTTTTAGAATGTACAAATATGTTTAGAATCCATATTTATAGGTCCTTAACATTTTTTTCTGATGAATATATCCCCAGACAGGAGAATTTTAAAAGTTAATGACTTTTCTACCTTGGTGTTTTAACTCTTGAAGTACTGAGAGGAGCAGAGTACCACAAAGCCAGATTGAGCTATTAATCTCCTTATGATTTTAGGCTCACATTCTTACACACGAAATTGTTAATTTAAATGTGGAGATACCAAACACCTATAGCCGTTCATTGAAAACTAGTATCAGTATGGAAACAAAACATAGCACAACTCTTTGTACTTAATTACGCCTCTATTTTAGTTAAGAGACTGATAATGATTGCTAGTGTTATATATAAAGTGTGATAGTCCTAACAGTGAAGTACATACATAAAATAATACACTGATTAATTCCCCTCATCAAGACAGGGCTAAGCATACTAAACAGCTCTAAAAATCATTCAGGATGTCTCTGAAGAATTACTACCTATTGTGCTTGCTTTAGGCCTTGCTTTCTGTCTAGTCATTTTTTCTTTCTATGAATTCTGGGAGCCCAAGTTGTGATATTTTTAGTGTTCTAGAATGTACAATCATGGTTTTTCTTTTTATGGAAACGTTACTACTTGGAGTTTAGTGAATTCAGTTTAAAGCAAAGGTGGGTTTGTAGATGGGGCTATCCTCGTAGAAGCAGAATGAGGCAGAAGTAATTCTCTGCTCTTTCGGAAGACTTAAAGTGGGATTGTAAGTGATTAACTCATGGAATCCTCAAAACCTTATGAAGTTGGGTATACTATTATCTTTATTTTATAGATAAGACAAAAGCCCAAGAGACTGGGTGACTTGCCCAAGGCAATAAACAATGGAATCACTGGTTTTAATGTTCCTGTATTGAAAGAGGTTAATCTATATACTTTTCTTTTTCTCTTGGGAAAAAAGTAATAAATATTAAACAGTTTGATTTTATTTTCATGTGTGGTCAGTTCAGAACGGTGTTACTCTGAGGATGTGCACATTTTTTCATATTTATTATGTTTATGTAGGTTTTTAAAAGACCTTTTTTTAACCAGACAAAATTAATAAAGAATTATATATATCTCTAAAGACAGATTGGTAGATTTTTAAATTGTATTTGAAGTTCAGCTGCAACAGCAGTTAAAATCTTGTCAAGTGTGAGCTTTAGGCAGGCAATCTATTACTTCAACTCTTTCAGATTTTATGGTGAAGGAAATTAGTTCTTGGGTAACATGAAAGTGAACTAGTGAAAAAATGAAGTCTATTGGGCTTTTAAAACTTGATTCTCTAATTCCTCCAGAGGAGGGCGCTTGGTGTTTACTGTTTAAAATTCTAGAGTATTATTTTTCTTTAATTGTAGATTGGGAGCCCTCCTCTTGATCCTACTGAGCATTTTCTTCCTAAAGAAGAGAATCTTGCTGAACAAGAGAGATCAAAAAGGTGATTAAGTATAGAAACCAGCTCTCACAGGTATTTCCACACAGTGGAGGTGAGATGATTGTTCAAACAAAGCACTATGTTTTCTCTTTTAAGGCACTCATAAAGGTTATAGAATGTGAATTCTGACATGAATTAAAACCTCCATATGCCACTGACTAGATATGTGACCTTGTTCAAATCTGAAGCTCAGTTTCCTTATCTGTCAAATAGGTAAAATAGCCAAACCCAACTCAAAGCGTTGATGGGAGGATCAAGGTAAACATATATATAACTAAGTTCCATATAAATTATAAACCATTATGCAAATACTGATTTTTTTCTTCATAGATTTGAGAAGGTTTATACTCATAACCTATATTACCTGGCTCAAGTCTACCAGCATATGGAAATGTTTGAGAAGGCTGCTCATTATTGCCACAGTACCCTAAAACGCCAGCTTGAACACAACGCCTACCATCCTATAGAGTGGGCTATTAATGCTGCTACCTTGTCACAGTTTTACATCAATAAGGTAAGCTGCTCAAAGTTATCTAACAAAGTTCCTGATAGCATAAAAATAGAACCAGTAGTACCTTGAAAATGTTGTCTTTTAAATACAGGCAGCTTGTATTTTAATTGTCTAACTAAACAGAAAAATGCAGCCCAATTTGCCAGTATACTAAAATTTTATAGCTTTTTGCATTAATTCTTTAAAATTTTTAAATAGAGTTTTATCATTGTCTTACATGTTGCTAGCCCCAAAAATTACATGTTACCTAGAACCAATTCTTTTATGATACATGCATGCTATCTCCACTCATTTTAGTGAGATGTTACCTTAAAATACAGATTTTATCTTGTAGATATAACTTTATCTTTATACAGTGGTAATCTGGTAACTATGAGAATTTGTCTGAGGAAGTTGACTGTTAAATGTGGGCTTTGATAAAAGCATGTGATGCATTTCAGTTATTCTTTAGAATTAACTCTTATAATAATTTTTCTGTGTTGGAAATATATCTGCTCAGTTCCAGAGTTCCTGGTCTGTATGGTAATACTTCTCTTGGAGTATTACATGGGTACAAATTGGAGCTTCTCAGTTGTTTATCAGAATTATTCAGAATCATATTAGTGTACTCTTATCAATTTATTCCTTTAGTCCCTAAGAGTTTCTAATGCTAGAACATCTTTAAGCCATCTTTCCCAGCCAGATTTTTAATTAATCCTCAATGAGATATCTCAGCAATAGAAATTACTTTTATTTGTATATCTAATTCATACACGTTTCTGAAATTTTGGTAATTTTTTGCTTATCAGAGTTTCTTCTGATCTCTGGTTACCTGCTGCCATGTCCTTACTGGGCCTTTATCCTTTCTAAGCCTTTTGTGAGTGCTGGTTCTGTAAATGCACCCTATGTTTAAAGTATTGTCCCACAGAATTTCATTCAGAAAAGCTATTAGCAGGAGAGAAAGGGCTGTTGTGACTGCAGCATCGCTTCTAGGACTTTGGTCTAAGATCAAGCGTGTAAGTAATGCTACTGCATATGTCAGAGCATTCAGTTAACTCTAACTCTCATGAATCCATTTCATTGTGGCCATCACCCAAAAGTGTCATTTGGCACTTCTGCTTGTGGCACCTTTTTAATAGCTTCTGGAGGCCCCTTGTTTGTTTTGTTTAGCAACTTTAAAATTACATATTCACTGTGATTTTAATTAGCCCTAAAAACTCCATAGATATTAACATGTAAGACACCATGGACCAAGAGATCTAGATAATGAAGTGTAATTAAAAATTTAAAGTTGTTAAGCATTTCTTATGTGGAGCATGCAGTAGTTTTCATGAGTACCTCCCAACCCTGTGCTTTTATTTTTTTTACCTAAGTGTTTTATAAGTTTTTGTTATAACTAAGTTAAATTGCAAAAGGAGATTTGAACCATGTTTTTTAAAAAGTGCAGTTGTCATTTATATCACCCTCATCTTCATTTGGTTCCAGTTTTTGAAGTTTTTCTCCTTAGTGAGTCGCTACCTGGCAGGTGGTAAAGTCCCACATTTGCCAGGCACCTAGGGGGCACAAGGCACTCACTGTTCTTGTGGTGGTTGCTTGCAGGGAAGCAGTTTGGACAAAGCTAAAGTGATAATGTGTAAGGGACTGTAGATAGACAAGTACAGCTTCTTTATGTAAACTGTAACTTTCTTTTGGTTTTTGAGGTTTAACACCAACATTTTGACCTTTATATGCTTCTGGGCTAATACTACACATGGTACCCGGCTATTCTCAAGATGGCTTCTGGGTTTGCCATGATGGATAATGCCGAGATGCCAAAATGATAATGCCATAATTTGATGCTGAGATTTTAAAATCATAGCCAACCATTAAAAATCTTAGCATAATCAAGTATTACTAATGTGAAGTAGACATATTAATGAGGGTGGCTTCCAACTAAAAGTTGGACTTTAACTTTGTACTTCTGCTGGGTGGTCCTATGGTTTACATGCCAAATGCCAAATGTTTATATTAACAAAGAGATCTTCTCCAGGTGTTTGAGAAGTTTACCATGCCCAGATTTGAGTTATGAGGTCTTCAAGTATATTGGTAAAGCAGTTGCATTAAGCTCATCTGTGGAAATCTTGGTAGGAAGCTCATTATATGTAAATTCCAAAGATTCTAGAAAACAGTAATTTCTGTTAGAAATGATCCATTTTGCCTTTGAATGATAGGGTGTAATAGGGATGTCTAAACCTAAAAAATTATATCTTCTTCTCTGACAGGATGTAAGTGGTCAGAGTTTACTGTGCATGGAACTTCAGCTATTTAAACTGAACCTTAGACTATCCAAGGCACTTTGAGTCTAGGATGATAGCTCTCTTCAAGTACTAAGTATGCAAGAATGGCTAACTTTGAATCAGCAGTTATCTTTTAACCAGTTCGGATTATTAAGAGTTTGGGGGCATTATTATTTTGATTTTTGAGCTAGCCATTTAATCAGGTAATACTATATGTCATTTACCTTCTTTATTTTAACTATACAGGGTCTCCTTAGTTGTGGTTTTTACTTAATCTTTTCCCATTTTAAAAGACTTAATGCAAGTATCAGTTGCAAATAAGGCTGTGTGATAATTACATTTACTCTTGTTTATTTCTTCAATAGCTATGCTTTATGGAGGCCAGGCACTGTTTATCAGCTGCTAATGTCATTTTTGGTCAAACTGGAAAAATCCCAACCACAGAAGACAGTAAGTTTATGTGTGCATGTTTCATTAAAAAGTTTTTAAAAAACTCTATTTTGAAGTTGTTTTAAGCTTTAGAAAATTCAAGAAAAGGTAACCACATGCCCTTCTAAATTTACCAGTTTTTAATATTTGCTTCATTTGAAATCAGATTTTATTTTTCTTTCTGGACCACTTGAGAGAAGATTACATATATTAGATTCTTTTACTCATTAATACTTCAGTGTGTATTTCCTAAGAATATTTTCTTACATAATCAGAATAGGAAATATAACATTGATATAATTCTTTTATCTTTAATGCATATTTGTTTCATTAATTATCTCCATAATGTCCTTTATAACAATTTTTTCTAGTACTAGAGTATCCAATTCAGGGCTGCATATTGCATAGATCTGTCACTTTGATCTGCTTTAATCTGGGATTTAATCAGCCTTTCTCTCTCACATTACATAGACTGTGTAAAATAGTACAGGCCAGTTGGAAAAATACAGGCCAGTTATTTCATAGAATTTCCATCAGTTGGTGTTTGATATTTCCTTATACTAAAATTCAGATTATACTTTTTTTGGGGGATACTATGTCCAAATACATAGTTTTTACATTAGAATAGTATAAAAGTACTATTAAAAATATTATACTTTCAAAAATCAGTTAATATGTGTACTTGAACAAGACCACAATGAGATACCACCTCATACCTGTTAGAGTGGTTATTATTAAAAGACAAGAAAAAACAAGCATTGGTGAGGATATGGAGAAAAGGGGACCCTCCTACCCTGTGGGAATGTAAATTAGTACATCCACTATGGAAACCAGAATGGAGGTTCCTCAGAAAACTAAAAATAGAAAAATCCATGTGATCCAGCAATTCTACTTCTAGATATTTATTCAAAGCAAATGAAAACACTAACTTGATATTCCAAAAAGTAGAAGAGAAGGAGATACTTCCAAACTCATTCTGTTATGTCAGCATCGCTCTAATACCAAAACTAGATAAAGACACCACAAAAAAAAAGAAAAAGTACAGACCAATATCCCTGATGAACACAGATGCAAAAATCCTGAGCAAAGTATTAGCAAACCAAATTCAAAAATACATCAAAAAGATCATCCATCATGACCAAGTGGGATTTATTCCAGGGATGCAAGGATAGTACAATATTTGCAAATCCATCAGTATCATACACCACTAACAAAAAGATGGATAAAAAGCACATGAGCATCTCAATAGATGCTGAAAAAGCATTTGACAAAATCCAACATCCATTCATGATAAAATCTCTCAACAAAATGGGTGTAGAAGGTAAGTACCTGAACATAATATAGACCATAAACGACAAACCTATAGCCAACGTCATACTTACTGGCAAAAAGCTGAAAGCTTTTCCTCTAAGATTGAACAAGACAAGGATGCCCACTCTCACCACTTTTATTCAACATAGTACTGGAGGTCCTAGCCACAGCAATCAGACAACATAAAGAGATAAAAGTCATCCAAGTTGGTAAGGAAGAAGCTAAACTGTCACTATTTGCAGATGAAATGATATTATACATAGAAAACCCTGAAGAATCCACCAAAAAACTATTAGAACTAATACTGAATTCAGTGAAGTTGCAGGATACAAAATTAATACATAGAAGTCTATTCCTATATACTAACAATGAACTAGCAGAAAGAGAAATCAGGAAAACAACTCCATTTACAATTGCATCAAAAAGAATAAGATACCTAGGAGTAAACCTAACCAAGGAGATGAAAGACCTATACTCTGAAAACTACAAGACACTCATGAGAGAATTTAAAGACACCAATAAATGGAAATACATCCCATGCTCATGGTTAGGAAGAATTAATATTGTCAAAGTGGCTATTCTGCCAAAGCAGTTTACAGATTCAGTGCAAACCCTGTCAAAATACCAGCAGCATTCTTCAATGAACTAGAGCAAATAGTTCTAAAATTCATATGGAACCACAAAAGACTCCAAATAGCCAAAGCAATCCTGAGAAGAAAGAGCAAAGCTGGGGGATTATGCTCCCTGATTTCAAGCTCTACTACAAAGCTGCAGTAATGAAGACAATTTGGTATGGGCACAACATCAGTGGAACATAATAGAGAGCCTAGATATTAATCCATGCATATATGGTCAATTAATATATGATAAAGGAGCCATGAATATACAGTAGGAAAAAGACAGCCTCTTCAACAACTGGTGTTGGGAAAACTGGACAGCTACAGTAAGAGAATGAAACGATTGTCTGACTCCATACAAAATAAGTAACAAAATGGATCAGAGACCTGAATGTAAATCATGAAACTATAAACACTTAGAAGAAACATAGGCAAAAATCTCCTGAATGTAAGCATGAGCAATTTTTTCCTGGACACATCTCCTTGGACAAGGGAAACAAAACCAAAACTGAACAAGTGGGACTACATCAAACTAAAAAGCTTCTGTACAGCAGAGGATACCATCAGCAGAACAAAAAGGCATCCCACAGTATGGGAGAATATATTTGTAAACAACTCATCTGATAAGGGGTTAAACATCCAAAATATATAAGGAACTCATACACTTCAACACCCAAAAACAAATAACCTGATTAAAAATTGGGTGGAGGACCTGAACAGACACTTCTCCAAAGAAGAAATATGAATGGCTGACAGGAACATGAAAAGATGCTCCACGTCGCTAATGATCAGGAAATGGAAATTAAAACCACAATGAGATGTCACCTCACACTGGTTAGAATGGCCAACATCCAAAAGACAAGAAACAAATGCTGGCAAGGATGTAGAAAAAGGGCAACCCTCCTATACTCTTAGTGAGAATGTAAATTAGTTCAACTATTGTGGAAAGCAGTATGGAGGTTCCTCAGAAAACTAACAATGAAAATGTCATTTGACCCAGTAATTCCACTCCTAGGAATTTACTTGAAGAAAACAAAATCCCTGATTTGAAAAGATACATGTACCCAGTGTTTATCACCACACTATTTGCAATAGCCAAGATGTATATGGGACTATCAAAGATTCAGGAAATCTGTAGGTTCCTTTTTTTTCTTTAACACATAATTGAAGGTTTGTGGCAACTGTGTGAGGAGCAAGTCTATTGGCTCCATTTTTCCCCAGTAGCACTTGCCTGCTTTGTGTCTGTATCTCATTTTGGTAATTCTCACAAACTTTTTCATTATTTCGTTTGTTATGGTGATCTGTGATCAGTGATTATGAATTGCTGAAAGGTGAGGGTTAGCATTTTTTTAAGCAATAAAGTCATTAAGGTATGTACATTGTTTTTTAGACAAAATGCTATTGCACATTTAGTAGACTACAGAATAGTGTAAACATAACTGATATGCGCTGGGAAACCAGAAAATCCCTTGGACTTGCTTTATTGCAGTGGTCTGGAACTGAACCAGCAATATCTCTGAGGTATGCCTGTAACAAGTAAATTGTAACAAGTAGGAGAATACCATGTGGAATCTATAGATAATGAGGATTGACTATACTTTGGAACCTGCACTTGATAGGAAATCCTTATTCTTTCCTTTTCAGAAATGGTGTGTGGATCTGGGTACTTGATTTGCTAAAGTTCGGAAGCAAAAGTAACTGGATTGTCATCTTACTAAAGTGTGCTCAGGTGCTCTGTGTAGGCATCTTACCAATTCTGTATTAATGGAAAGTACCATCTTTTAAAAAAAATTGAGATGTAATTGATTTATGACATAGATCAAAACAAATACATCTGAAACTAATGCATATATTACAAAATGATCACAATAAGTTCAGTTAATTTCTGTCAACACACATCGCTATGAAGCTTTTTCTTGTGATGGGGATTTAAGATCCCTTTCTTAGCAACTTGCAAATAGGCAGTATAGTACAGGCACACCTTGGAGATACTGCTGGTTTGGTTCCAGACTATTGCAATAAAGTGAATACCACAATAAGCAAGTCGAATGAATTTTCTGGTTTCCCAGTACATATAAAAAAAAACTATGTTTATCATATAGTGTAGTCTGCTTGGTGTGTAATAGCATTATGTCTGAAAAACAGTACACACGTAAATACTTCATTGCTAAAAAATGTCAGCCATCATCTGAGCTTTCAGCAGGTGGTGACCTGGTTTGCTGGGGGTAGAAGAGTTTACCTTGACGTTGATGGCTGCTGACTGATGACGGTGGTGGTTGAAGATTGTTTTAAGAAATTGTTCCAAAAAAAAAAAATAAGAAAGAAATTATTACAGCCACCCCAGTGAAGTCTGTGTCATCAATTTACTCTTACTTACTTTCAGGACTGATTTCTCTTTAGCATGTGATACTGTTTGACAGCATTTTTCCACAATAGAACTTTGAAAATTGAAGTCTGTCTCTATAGCATCTTACTATGCTGATGGACAGTGAGTGTAATGGGGTGGGGGAGGGACTTGATAATAAGAGTGAATGTTGAAACCATAATGTTGCTCGTGTGAAACCTTCATACGATTGTATTATCAGTGATACTTTAATTTAAAAAATTGAAGTCTGCCCTCTCAAACTGTGCAGCTGCTTTATCAACTAAGTTTATATAATATTCTAAACCCTGTCATTTCAGCAATCTTCACAGCTTCTTCAGCAGTAGATTCCACCTCAAGAACCACTTAAGCATTGCTCATCCATAAAAGCAGCTCCCTGAGATTGAACCAATTCAGCCATACCTTCAGGCTCCACTTCTAATTCTAGTTGTCTTGATATTTCTGCCCCATCTGCAATTACTTCCCTACTGAAGTCTTACACTCCTCAAAGTCATTCTTGAGGACTGGAATAAGCTTCTTCCAAACTCTTGTTGATGTTGATATTTTGACCTCTTTCCAGGAATCACAAATGTTGTTATTAATGACATGTAGAATGGTGAGTCATTTCCAGAAGGTTTTCAGTTTACTTTGCCCAGGTCCATGAGAGGAATCACTATCTCTGGAAGCTATAGCCCTATCTTTGGGAGCTATAGCCTTACAAAATATATTTCTTAAATAATAACACTTGGAAGTTGAAATGACTCCTTGATCCATGAGCTGTAAGGTGGATATTGTGTTAGCAGGCATGAAAACAACATTAATGTTATTGTACATCTCCATCAGAGCTCTTGGGTGACCAGGTACATTGTAATAGTCAGTAAACCATGTTATAACAGCTGTGCTGTCATCCAGTCTTAGTTGTTTCACTTATAGAGCACCAAGTAGATTCAGTGTAATTCTTAGGGGCCCTAGGATTTTCCAAAGGGTGAATAAGCATTGGTTTCAGTTTAAAGTCACCAGCTACATTAGCCCCTGACAAGAGCATCAGCTTGTTCTTTGAAGCCAGACACTGACTTCTCCTCTTAAGCTGTGAAAGTCCTAAATGGCATCTTCTTCCAATAGAAGGCTGTTTCATCTACATTGAAAATCTGTTGTTTAGTGCAGCCCCCTTCACTAGTGATCTTAGCTAGATCTTCTGGATATAACTTGCCTCAGCTTCTATGCCAGCACTGGCTGCTTCACCTTGTACTTTGATGTTCTGGAGATGGCTTCTTTTCTTAAACCTCATGCACCAACCTCTGCTAGCTGCAGACTTTTTATGCAGGTTCCTCACCTCTCTCAGCCTTCATAGAATTATAGAGAGTTAGGGCCTTGCTCTGGATTAGGCTCTGATTTAAGGGGATATTGTGGCTGATTTGATCTTCTATCCAGACCACTCAAACTTTCTTCATATCAGCAATAAGGCCATTTCATTTTATCATTTGTGTGTTCACTGGAGTAGCACTTTTAATTTCCTCTAAGAAGTTTTCCTTTGCATTCACAGCATGGCTAACTGGCACTAGAGGCCTAGCTTTTGGCCTGTCTCGGCTTTGGACCTGCCTTCCTCATTAAGCTGAATCATGTGTAGCTTTTGATTTAAAGTGAAAGATGCACAACTCTTCCTTTCATGTGAACATTTAGAAGCCATTGTAGGGTTGTTATTTGGCCTAATTTCAATGTTGTTGTGTCTCAGGGAATAGAGAAGCCCAAGGAGAGAGATGGGAAAGCGGCTGATCAGTGCAGCAGTCAGAATACAACAACATTTATCAGTTAAGTTTGCTGTCTTATATGGTGCCCCAAAACAATTACAATAGTAACAAAGGTCATGGATCATTGTTCACCATAACAAGTGTAATAATGAAAAAGTTTGAACTATCAGCTTATCAAATGTGACAAGAGACACAAAGTGAGCAAATGCTGTTGGACTTGCACAGAGTTGCCACAAACTTTCAGTTGTAAAAAATGAAATATCTGCAAAGTACAATAAGACAGGCTATGCCTATAACCCCATGGTAGTACTAGAGGTGCCTCTGTGGTCATCTGCAGGCGTGCAGAACAGTAAGTCAGAGGTACACACACCCAGATGAGGTTAAACAAGGTGATGCCACTCCACTTTGTTTCCACTCTCATATTGAACTGTCCTTTTTGTGGTCTATTTAGTGCCACACTTTCCACATTTTTGTGCTTTTTGATGGTGATTTTGTTTTTTAAAATTGTCCCCATGTGTAGTGTTGAAGTGCTGTCTAGGATTCTTAAGCACATGTAGCTTGGGATGTGCCTTATGGAGAAAACACAGTGTTGGGTAAGCTTCATTCAGGCACAGGTTAATGTGCTGTTGGCCATGAGTTCAATGTTAATGAGTGCAACCCAACAATGCATATTAACTAAGGTGTCTTTAGGTAGGAAGACACATAAAATAAGGTATCTAATCTATATTGATCAGTTGACTAAAGTGTTGTGACCAGAAGTTCATAGGAACCTAACCCTGTATTTCCCTAGGAGCCATATCTCTTTATACACTAATTCAGTGTTCCTGCAACTTGATAGAACCTAGAACCTAGTGACCATGAATAATGAGAATCAACTGTCCTCTGTTTCCTTGTAAGAGAATCCAGTTAGAAAGCTTTACTGGTTGGGCTGGAATCCACTTTTTCTACTGAAACAAATGTTTGTCTGAAGATGACGATCCAACCCACCAGTGACTTATCTCAGCTCCATGTTTCCAGGTTGCCTTGGAGGCCTGTGACTTGATTCTCTACCCCTATTGCTGGGCAGCAGCCTGACTGTTGGATCTGGCTTCCGTGTCATTGGTGGCACACAGGTGTTGATGGAAAAGGAAGACTACAGGGGGTGGTACATGGATTAATAGCAATACTGCAGTAACTCTAACATGATGACTGAAAATGTTACTTAATGTTTACAAAGGATTTTTTAAAAATACTGGTGAAAACCAAAATAATTTAAAGAGTGAAAATTTTTTAAATGAATTTTCCTTGCAAAGAGGAATTTCTTCCATAGATGTAACATTAATATTTCAATAAAACTGGATGTGGGACTTACATTGTAAAATGAAATAATTGGCCCTTCCATTAAACCACCTCCGTGATTCAGAACATTATTTTAGGAGACACTTTCTACTCAGGGCTACTGTCCTCTTTCATGGGAAATCCATTTCCATTTGGATTCCATTAAACTGGAGTTTTTGACATATTGGTTAGCAGTTATGCTAACCTTTACCATGTTCAGCACTATTCATTAACAAAGACTGCAGCATAGGCAAGGTAATAAAAGCAAATGTTTAAACACAGGAAACTGCTTTCGACCACCTCATAAGGATCCATATATAGACGTAAATTATAGAATTTGTATCTTAAAGTAGATATTCTAAAAACTTTAATCAACAATCTTTTTGTTAATCCAATTTGATTATTAGTGGTGTTGAGCACCCACATGTACCAGATCTTGTCCTAAGTTCTTTGAGGACATCATTAAATTTTCAGAGCAATCAGACAGTCTCAGAGTTATCAGACAGTCACATGTTACCATCTACACTTTACAGATGGAGAAACTGAAACAGAGAGGTTCAGTAATTTGCCTACTGGTGAACAGGGAGGAGCAGAGCTGACATTGAAACCCAGGCAGGATGGTTCCCAGCCTGTAACTCCACAGTTTGAGCTGAGCAACCTGATCCCTTCCCACCCAACCCTTCCACCACCACTAGCTCAAGATGAGAAAAGCTGCTCTCTGGAAGTGGGTGGGGGACTCTGCAACTTTGGGAAGGCTTAGAAATAAGAGTAAAAGTCAAATCTGTAGTAGTTGGAAACAAGTCTGTGAACATCATGGTAATGGGCATTGGTTTCTAATAAGATGCTTGAAATATCAAAGGCATGCATTTTTAATAGAAGTGAAAATTGTTTCTTGGAAAGTGAAAAAAACTTTACACGAATAATGGTAATGTAAAAAAAAAAGGAAAAATGTCATTTACAACAACATAGATCTTGAAGGCATTATGCTCAGTGAGGTAAGTCAGAGAAAGACAACGATCTTACTTTTATGTGAAATCTAAAAAACAGCAACAAATCCCAAAGAAACGAAACTCACTGACACAGAGAACAGATCAGTAGTTGCCAGAGGCAGGTGGTGGGTGCAATGGGTGCAGGGAGCAAAAAGGCACAAACACCGGTTATAAAATATTAAGTAAGTCATGGGGATAGAATTACAGCATGGTGACAATAGTTAATAATACTGTATTTTATATTTGAAATTAGCTGACATCTTAAATTATCACAAGAAGAAAATATTGTAACTATATGGTGATGTGTTAACTAGGCTTTTATACAGTGTAAAATGATCACAAGTATTGAATCATGTTGTATATTTTAAGCTAATATGTTATATATCAATTATGCCTCAACAAAAAGTATGTTTGAGTTATTTAAAGGTTTTGTAATAAGGTCACAGTTTTATTGTTGTGGATCAGAAGAATACACAGGTTGTAAATACAGAGGCTATTAGAAGAATGTACATTATCAAACAGTCAGTTTTTCCCTTAATTTATTATGTTGAATTGATTGTAGTATAGTTGAAGTCTAAAAGGCACTTGTCCAAATTAAAAATTAATAACTAAATCACCAGTGAGATTGCTGGGTTTAAAGCTATTTTGAAGAGTAAAAACAATGTCTAGTGTTTTTACAATGCTTTCATTGAAAAGCCTCTATACTGTTGGTTAGAGTATTAGTTGAAAATACTTTGGCAGCATGTATCAAAAACATTTAAAATGGTAAACTCTGACCCAGTAAATTCCACTTCTAAGAATCTGTCCTAAGGAAATAATCCAAAATCCAGATAGATTTATCCACAGAGATCTTCCTGTTTAGAGTTGTTTGTAATAGAAGAATTAGAAGGAATAAATACCCAGAATTAGAAGAATCATTAGACAAAATGTAGAACATTCAATTATATATAATGCTAAACTTCAAAATGATGGTAAAGAGTTGATAATGATATGGGTGAAGTGTTAGTGGTATAATATGTAAAGAAAAAGTACATTCAAAATTGAATATACATTCAAAATTGAATACATTATCCTAGTTTTTACCTACAGATAATACATAAGAAAAAAACAAAGATATAAGCAAAAATAGTAGCAGTGGAGTGCCTCTGGGTGGTAGGAAATTTTGGGTGTTTTTTTTCCCCCACTGGTTCAGTAAGGATGTTACTTTTATAGTCAGGAAAAAATGATATAAAAAAGAATATAGTATGCAATGAAAATTTTAATTGTGGCCATTAATTTAAACAAATCACATTATGTAATTTTAGCTACTGAAACAGAAGGAGATGTGCCAGAGCTTTATCATCAAAGAAAAGGGGAAATTGCAAGATGCTGGATCAAATACTGTTTGACTCTCCTGCAGAATGCCCAACTTTCCATGCAGGTAATGTGGTTAAAAATTGCCTTTTCTTTCTTAAATGAGTAGGATGTAAGCAAAAGCTTAAAATGGGGATTATGCTCATTGGACTCCCTGCATGTTTATTATGCAAGGCATGCAGAATGTTCTCATATCAATTTCTTGGTCTCTCCATCTCTACCTTTTAAAATCTTACTCATCATTCAAGGCCTATCTCAAATACCCCTTCTGCCTTGAATTCTTTCCTTTGGATAGAATGTCAGTTTCTTGAGAGACAGGGTTTGCATCATATGCATATCATTATCTCCAGTTTCTGTAAGTTCTCAATAAATGTTGAATGCATAATTTTTCATCCCCTACAGATATCATATCCCTCCTTTAAACTCCAGAGGACCTTTATGGCCTCTTCCTAAGTCACTTAAATTTTGCTTTGCATTATCCCTACTCATAATCTTATTCCTTCACCTCATTTTAGACTATAAGCAACCTGAGGGCAGGAAACAATCCTTATTTATCTTTACATACTTTATACAATATATGGATATACTTATATGTTAATTTTTATAAAAATATATATCGGAGATCTTGGGAGATTCAAGATGGCAGCGTTGAGAGGTGAGACAGAGAACTCCTCCCAAAACCACAGATAGTGTGAAAATATAGTTAATACAACAAACCCTAAAACAACAACAAGAAAAGAAGGCTGCATCAGACTGCATACAGACCTCATGAACAGAGCAGACCTCACAAAACAGGGTAACGTACCAAAGCCTTGATCCGGGGGGACCCAGGCCCTTCCCCCACCCCAGGTCACCAGCAGGAGGAAGAGAAATGGAGCAGGAAGGGGGTGGAAGCCTGGGACTGCTGAACACCTAGCCCTGGAGATCTGCCTTAGAAGTAGAAACCTGCATTGTGTGGTGCTCTGGAAGATAGGGAGCTCAGACAGGCAGAGTGCTAGAGAGACAGATTCCAGCCATTTGTGGAGGACGGGATCCACATCCAGCTGCTCTGGGACAAGGGAAAGGCAGGCAATCCAAGAGGCTTCCTAGCAGCGAGAGGGCTGCTGAAGGGGCGGGTTTGCACAGAGCTTGCTGCACGGGAGAAGGGATAGATGGACACGGTTGTCTGGATGTGCTTTGCCCAGCAGATTGGGATCTTTGAGGCGCTTCAGGCGCTCCATCCCCCTGGCTGGCTGCTCAGCCCCGAGGCCCCCACTGTAACATGCAGCCTGCCGAGTCTTCCTCCTGCTCTGCCAGCACCGGTTCACAAACTGGCTGTCACTGCGCTGCCATCAGGCCAGCCGGAGGGAGGCCCCGCATACAACAGCTAGAGCCGCAAAGCACAGAGGCTTACACCTGTGTGCTCTGCCCACTGGCCCTGACACTGGAGACAGGCACCGCAGACGGGAATCAGGAAACGGATCTTTCCTCCCCCCAGGCACCAGCTCCGCTCCCCTACAACCCCCAGCTTCACTCTAGGGGCTGAGCAGCTCCAGACACTGGAGCTTCTGGGCACTAGAGGGCACCACACAGAAATAGGAGACATCAAAAGAACATGGTACAGAACAAAATCTCACAAACCCCAGAAAAAGGGCCAAATGAAACTGAACTCACCAATCTACATGAAAGAGTTCAAAATAAAAATCATAAACATGCTTATGGAGGTACAGAGAAATATTCAAGAACTCAGGAATGAATTTAAGACGGAGATTCAATCATTAAGAAATTCCATATCAGAAATGAAACATACAATGGAGGGATTTAAAAGCAGATTAGATGTAGTAGAAGAGATGGTAAATGGAATAGAAATTAGAGAAGAGGAATACAAAGAAGCTGAGGCACAGAGAGAAAAAGGAATCTCTTAAGAATGAAAGAATATTGAGAGAACTGTGTGACCAATCCAAACGGAACAATATTCACATAATAGGGGTCCCAGAAGAAGAAGGAGAGAGAAAAAGGGATAGAAAGTGTCATTGAGGAGGTAATTGCTGAAAACTTCCCCAATCTGGGGAAGGAGGTAGTTTCTCAAGCCGTGGAGATGCACATATCTCCCAACACAAGGGACCCAAGGAAGGCAACATCAAGACATATAATAATTAAAATGTCAAAGATAAAGGATAAAGGCAGACTTTTAAAAGCAGCTAGAGAGAGAAAAAACATTATGTACAAAGGAAAACCCATCAGGCTATCATCAGATTTCTCAACAGAAACCTTACAGGCCAGAAGGGAGTGGCATGATATGTTTAATGCAATGAAACAGAAGGGCGTCGAACCAAGAATACTCTAGCCAGCAAGGTTATCATTTAAATTTGAAGGAGGGATTAAACAATTTTCAGATAAGTAAAAGCTGAGAGAATTTACCTCCCACACACTACCTCTACAGTGCATTTTGGAGGGACTCCTATAGATGGAAGTATTCCTAAGGCTAAATAGATGTCATCCAAGGAATAGACAAAGAGTACAGAATGGTTCATAATGTAAAAAAAATGGAGGAGAAAAAAAAAAGAATCTTTAGGTTGTGTTTGTAATAGCATACAAAGTGAGTTAAATTAGACTGTTAGATAGTAAGGCAATTGCCCTTGAACCTTTGGGAACCACAGATCTAAAGCCTACAGTGGCAATAAGTACATACCTATCGATAATCACCCTACATATAAATGGTCTGAGTGCACCAATCAAAAGACATAGAGTCACTGCAAGGATAGAAAAACAAGACCCATCTATATGCTGCCTACAAGAGACTCACTTCAAACCCAAAGACATACACAGACTGAAAGTGAAGGGATGAAAAAACATATTTCATGCAACTAATGGAGAAAAAAGCAGGAGTTGCAGTACTTGTATCAGACAAAGTAGACTTCAAAACAAAGTCACAAGAGACAAGGGCATTATATGATGATAAGGTGTCAGTTCAACAAGAGGATATAACTATTATAAATATCTAGGCACCCAACACAGGATCACCTACATATGTGAAACAAATACTAACAGATTTAAAGGGGGAAATAGAATGCAATGCATTCATATTAGGAGACTTCAACACACCATTCACTCCAAAGTACAACCAGACAGAAAATAAAGAGACAGAGGCACTGAACACATATTAGAACAGATGGACCTAATGAACATCTATAGAACACTCCATGCAAAACCAACAGGATACACATTCTTCTCAAGTGCACATGGAACATTTTTAAGAATAGATCATATACTAGGCCACAAAAAGAACCTCAGTGAATTCAAAAAGATTGAAATTGTACCAATCAGCTTCTCAGATCACAAAGGTATGAAACGAAATAACTTACCCAAAGAAAATGAAAAAGCCTATGAATACTTGGAGGTTTAATAACATGCTTCTAAATAATCAATGGATCAGCGGAGACAAATGATGACAATAATTCAACACCACAAAATCTGTGGGACACAGCGATGGCCATGCTAAGAGGGAAATATATTGCAATACAGGCCTACCTCAGGAAAGAAGAACAATCCCAAATGAACAGTCTAAACTCACAATTAATGAAACTAGAAAAGGAAAAACAAATGAGGCCAAAAGTCATTAGAAGGAGGTACATAACAAAGATTAAAGCAGAAATAAATAAAATTGAGAAGAATAAAACAATAGAAAGACTCAATGAAAGCAGGAGCTGGTTCTTCGAGAAAATAAACAAAACAAAATAGATAAACCCCTAGCCAGACTTATCAAGAGAAAAAAAACGTCTACACACATAAACAGAATCAGAAATGAGAAAGGAAAAATCATTACGGACACCACAGAAATACAAA